ACAATATATATATATATATAAATATATATATATATATATATATATATATATATAATATTTTACTTTTTTTTTATTTTTAAAAAATAACATTAGATAAAAATGATTTTTAATAAAAAATAAGCATTTTTGTAAAAAAAATTGAATATTTGATATAAGATAATAATAATTTATATATGTCAGTTAATAAATAAAAAGATGAATATGTAAAACTAAATAATAAATATATTAATATAAATAAAAAATTTAATTAACTTTAAATTTATTGTGAATAGTTATAAAATTCAATTATATAACTTTAAGATAAAAATAACTAAATTATATAGGATTAAAATAAAAGATTTCTTTATTTTTAGATCAATCATTAATATAAAATTATTAATAAAGTGAATATAAATTTGATGAAAGGTAAAATATATAAATGGTAATAATTTAATAATTAATAAATATGTTATTATAAGAAAATAAAAGATTAAATAAAATATAAACGTAATAAGATTGCTAATAATGTATTAACATTATTAAAAAAGCAAATATAAACGTAATTATAGTATTTTTAATAAGAAGAAATATAAATTATAAATTATTAATATAAGTAATGCTAATAAATATTATTATATAATTATATAATAATATATAATAATTATAAAAAGAAAATATTAATAAAATAAATTTAATATGTAATCAATGTTATTAATTAAATTAATAAAAGGATTAATATATGTAATATAAAAACAAAAATTAAAAATTAAAAAAATTGATAATTTTTTTTAAATAAAAAATGAATAATAAAAAAGAAATGTATATTTTAATAGATGTAAAGAAAATATTATAAATTATAATAAAAATAATATTAAAAATAAAAATAATATTAAAAATAATAATAATAATAATAATAATAATAATAATAATAATTATTATTATTATAATTATTATAATTATTATAATAATAATTGCAATATAATTTATAAATTTAATATATTTTATGATATAATATAATATTTTTAAAAAATATTAATAAATATATTTTTTTTTTATAAAATAAAAATATCATAATTCTATATTATTAGAATAATATTTTGAATTAATTAAATAATCTTTTTTCCTATATTTATTTTCTCCCATATCTTCATCAAAATCAACATTATTATAATTATCAATATGTACTTTTTAAGAATATCTAAATTAATTATGTATCGATTTTTTACTAATGTCTTAATAACCTTCATTTTATTAGTAATTTTCTTCTTCAAACATAATATTTTTTAACATATTATTATTTTCTTCCTTACTGTTATTTAAAATATCTCTTTCTAATAATAAATTTTCTTAGCTTTAAAATACAAAACCAGCTACAAGACTAGAAATTATTTCTTTTATTTAAAATCTATTCTCCAGAACATTTATTTCGTTTATGTTTTATTAATTTTTTATAACTTCAAGGTTTTAATATATACTTTTTATTAAATTTTAGGTCATAAAAATTCCCTCAATAGTCAATAAGTCAATTAAATCTTTTTCTTCATGAATTAAATTTGAGTTTATTTCATTTAAAAAACTCACAAAAACCGCCAGAAAGGCATTTTCGAAACCTTAAACCTGATTTACACCTAGTTCAAATACTAAAATATCTAAAATTCTGAAAAATTGAATACTCTAAAAGCAGTACATAAAGACAGTATAGTGTAGGTAGAACCAAAGTTTAGGAATTTCGATTTTTAAGTCCTTAAATTTATCTTTTAAATCTTATTTTAGTAATTTTTAGCATACCCAAACACCCTTAGCAACTCTCAAACTAACACTTGGGATGTTTTAAGTTAATAAATCTTCATATATTTCCTTAAATAAAGACACAAAGCACCAAAAACAATAAGATTCTTCCTTAGAAGGATTATTTATGTCAATATTTTAACCTTCTAGATGTTATATTTTTTCGGAACTATTTAAATAATTATATTTAGTGCTTATAAGAATTTTATGGGCTAAACGAAAAACCCATTTTATTGAATCACCACTGTTTTTGATATTTATTTAATTTAATTCTAGGTAATTGTAAATTGCAGTTAGTAAATTTCGGTATTATTATTCGATTATTTATCCATGAATACGATTTTCTTGTTTTTCACTTTATATGTAATTTTCAATATATTCAGTATATTATTTCATGTTTTTGTAGTATATATAACTTTTAAAGACTATTTCTTCATCATTAAAATTAATACTAAATATAATTATATATATATATATATATATATATATATATATATATATATATATATATATATATATATATATATATTTATTATGTATTTATTTATGTATATATATTTTATTTACTTTAATTATTCATCTTTTTTTACTTACATTTCAATTTATAACAAATTATACCAGAAAAGTTCTCGAACATAATTTGGAAGACCTTCAATAAAAAGTTTATTTAGTTTAACTTTTCCGATTTCGCGTTTATAATTATTTATATTCTACATTATTTCTTATAAACTTACAAATTATTATTTTAATGAACTGGCTATACATTCTTATATATCCGCAAGAATATCAGAACCCTATATATATATATATATATAATTTAATTAATAAAATAATTTATATAAAAATATATATATAAATATATATATATATATATATATATATATATTATAATATATTTAATAATTATTTATATACAACATATATATATTTACTTCTTATGTAACTATTAATGTAAGATGTTCTTATGTTCTTTTATATATAATTCTTTTAACGTCTTTTTCTACATCTTTATTAACACCATAATTATCTAAAATAAAGCCGCTTAAAAGCTATAATGATTGACCGCATTTTTATTCCAATAGTTCGAGTTTCCAGACTAAATATCGGATACTTGTTTAAGTAATTTCTATTTAATCTATAACATCGGGGAACAAAGGATCATTCAATAAGCATCTTTCAGATTCGATTAATTATTCAAAATAATCATCATAGTTTTAGGCTTATAATTCAAAATTATTTAAATATGGACATACGAATGAAGTCATATTTATACAAATATTAATTATTTGACTAGATTTGCCTTTTATAGGTATCCATAATTCTCTATTAGATGCAAATTCATTAGCTAAATCTGAAATAAGTAATCTATATTCATATTTTTCACTATGAATAGAAGCATTTAATCCTTCATAAATAAAAATTTATAAATAATCATTTTTACAATCTTAATTAATTTAGAATTAGAAAGTTTTATTATTTTACTTTTAAATAAAAATATATATATATATATATATACTTAAAGATTTTTTTTTTTTTTTACACTTTATATATTGTTTTAATTATCTGAAAAATTGTAATCTTCTAAAGTCCATAAATAATGATTTAAATGAACTTAAGAATTTAATCTTCCGAAGAATTCTAATTGTATACAATTTTCATTTTCTAATTCTTTTACTGTATATTTGCGTTTGTTTATTTTTCTGGTTTCAAAAGGATCTTGGTAATTAGGGATGTAATGTACTTCAATTATAGGCTTAATTATTTCGATGCTTTAGTGAATAATAAGGTTTTTGAAAGCTAATTCAATCCTTTTTTCTTCTTCTAAGTCATATAAAGAAACTTATTTTAATTTAGGATCGGTAATTTAAGCTGGCATATACTAAACTTAGGCATCTATAGCGTTTTTTAAAGCTTAAGAGACTGCCTTTTGGGTAAAAAAATCGTCATAATTGTAAATTAAGTTAGATTTTTGTAATGATTTGATATTTTTTTTCCTATAGGTTTAAATTTGCAATTATCTTTATTTTAATTAATCTTCTAATTTAATAGAGGCTATTTTCCATTAATTAACCATTTTTTTTAATTAAATAGCTGAAAACTTAAAGAAAGTCTATTAAAATAAAATATTCATTTATTTTTACTTTTCAATATTTTCTTTTTCTAATTAAAATTAGTGTTCTTATTTACTTTTATATGCATATTTTTCTATTTTTTTGTTGAAAATTTTTAATACTTCATTTTTGTAAATTTAAGAACATTATTTAATTAGTTAACATTTATTTAATATGTTTTTTAAAAAAAAATGATTTCTAAGTCTTTTAGCATCACTATGTTTATTAAAATATACTTCAATAGGTTAGTTAACGTTTTTCTAGAATTGAACAACATTTAATATAATTTTATATCTTTAAGATTGATTAGATTGTGTAGTGTTCTATATATATATATGTGTATAAAAATATATATATATAAATATATATATATATATATATATATATATATATAAATATTTTTTTTATTATTATTTAATATTTTATGTTTAATTTTAATTTTATTTTATTTATTTTTATTCTTTTTTAATTTTATTTATGAATTTTATTATATTATTACTTTATCATATTTTATAGTTTATATCAGTCCTAATTATTTTTAAGTTTTTTCGTTTAATTAAATTAACATTCCTTCGTTTATAATAGCTTTTCTTTATAGAAGTTTACCAAGTTTTTTTCCTTTTTAATATTTTAAATGAAAAAAATAAAACATATTTAATTTAATTTTTTACCTTTTTTGATTATTTCCAGTTGCTCTTTACATAATTCTTCAGTTGTTATAATATATTATTTGGTAAATTAATCAAGTTTATTATCTTTCATTTTATTTACATTTACACTAACTATTAATTCATCATCATCATAATCATTATGCTTTAATTTATAAATAAATAAAATTAATATATAACTTAAAATAATATTATTATTATTATATTTGAATATATTTTTTTATTTATTTACGTCTTTAACAAATATAAAAGCATTTTATATATATTAATCATATAAAATTCTTTTATAAGAACCATCTGATTATTATTACAATTAGGTCAACCAGCTTGCTTATATTTTAAGTTGTTACATATTTTATATAATATATGTTTTAAAATTATAAAGAAATCTTAATTTATTATATATAATAATATAAATTTTAAAATATAAAGGTTTATATAAGTTAATAATTAATATAAAATATAATATATATATATATATATATATTTATTTATTTTATAAATATATATTTATTTTATTTTATTTTAATATATTAAATAAAAAAAAATTATTATTTTTTATATTTATATAATTTTTTGAAAATTTAGTCTAACTTAAATTATTCAATTTTTATACATAAATTTATTTAAATATAAAAAAATGTAAATATTTATTAATTATATATTTTAAAAATATAAATATATAGTTTTTAAATATATATTTATCTATTATTTATAAATTATTTTCTTTTAGTGTTAGATAATTATTATTAAAAAAAAAAATATCAATTTAATTTATTTTTTCATTCTTAATTTAATTTTTTTTTTTCATCATCTATAAATTTTTATATTACTAATTTCATATATTTATAAATATAGCTATATTATTCAGAATGATGAACCATTCCCCATCTTTATTCTCTTAATCTTCTTACAGTTGAAAAAACACTTAATGTACAATCTTTTAAATCTTAATTTTAAACTTAATTAATTATTGTAAAATATTAGTATTTAAAATAATATTTATTTATGATATTACCTCCTTCTTTAAGTGCTTAAATTATTTTAGGTTTGTAACAATTAAAAGCCAAAATTAAATTAATTAAAGATAATAATGTTCCTGTTCTTCCAACACCAGCACTTTTATTTGTTGATGTAAAATTTATATAAAATATATATAATAATAAATGATATATATAAAAAATAAATATATATATATTTATATATATATATATATATATATATATTTATATATATATATATTTACCTGCAATGGATAACTGTAATATTTAACTTTTCATATTGTTCTATCATTATATGAATTAAATATTCCATTATAGTATAATCACTTTCACTTGGAGCACTATGGTCTTTCCAATCTTACCACTATAAATATAAAAAAATATTATAATTTTCTATTTTTTACTTACTTAATATTAAAATATTGTTTTGTTAAAATTTTCATCTTTTTTTTCTAGTTTTAATGTTCTTTTGTAAACTGTTTCCAAAAAAAGTTCTTCTTTGATCAAAGTTACTTTAAATGAACCATATTCTTGATATTATCCTGATTCGTTTGGCCAATATTAATCGCATTAAGCTTTTTCGTTTTCTTTCAAATTACATAACATTATAATACATTCAATATCATGATACCAAATCATTTTCCAAAAATGAGATAAACTAGTAATTAATGGTCCTTATGTTGCAATAAATTTTTTTTCGCAATTATTTTATATATCAGACTTTTTTTTTTTTACAAAATAGCAAATATATATTTATAAGGTATTAAATTATTAAAATTAAGTACATTTATATAAGAGGCATTGATATATTAAACTTCTTCTAAATCATCTAAGTTATCTTGATTAATTTTAACTTCTGAATGTTCAACTTTAATATGAAAAAAATATGTTTTTTATATATTTTTTGTTTATAAATATGATATTAACCATTTTTATTTTTTTAGTAATCGAAAATTTTTTTATATATTTTAATTTTTATGTTTGTTTTTTATTTTTTATTTTTTATTATTTAAAATTTATATACATAGGTATGTGTTTATTTATTATTACATGGTATAATATTATTGTATCTATTGTATTTATTTAAGTTTGGATCATAATCTTTTAAACGTTCATTATGATATTGAGTTTCTGTTAATCTTCTTACAAGCTTTTTTTTATATTTAGATAAAATAAAATTAAACAGATTATTCTTTAAGTATATATATATATATTTTTTTTTATATTACTCTAAATTCCATGTCAGTATTTATTGTAGAACATAATTCCGTGAAATCCATTATTGGAATACCTTTTTCTATATTATAAATATCCTCCATTTATTAAACCCATTAATAAGAAAGATCTTCAACTTTATTTAAAATACAGGGGCCTTATAAAGGAATTTATTTATTCATTTGTTTTAAATTTTTCTTTCTTTATTTTTTTAATATTTTTTTATTTTATTTTATTTAATTTTTATTTTTATCTTTTTGAATTAAGGTGTTTATAATAATTATCAATATAGAATATAATAATGTAAAATTTATATTTTTCTATAAAAAGTAAATTATTAATATGATAAATGATAAATTTTATATTTATGAAAAATTTTTTTTTAAAATATTTATATTTTATATTTAGTGATTAATATAGATAATATATTTTATATAATGAATATTTAAGTTATTATATTAAAACAATATTAATTAAATAAATTTAAAATTAATAATTATAAATATTTTTATTTATTTAATATTTATTTATATATTTGTTCATTACTAATAACCTTTATATTAAATAATTTTATTTATATACATTTTTATTATTGATTTTTTTTTTTTTTCAGAATATTAATATTTATTTATTTTGTCATTTAATAATTACAAAAAGATATAAAAAAAAATAACTTATATATGCTTATAATAATTAAAAAAAAGAAATATAAAATCTAAAAAAAATACTATTTATTTTATATAAATAAAATTAATAAAAAGATATTAAAAAGAAATAAATTAATATAAAAATTTTATGATAATATATATATATATATATATATATATATATATATAAAATAAATTATATAAAATATTATATTTTTATATTTATAAATAAAATAAATTATTTGTTTTTCTTTAATTAATAGATATAATATATTCTTTTTTCTTTATTAATTATCTTTAATATTAAATAAATAAATTTTAAAATAAAGAAATATAAATTTATTTTATAAAATATATAAACAAAATAAAAAAAGTTATGTTAGAAGCAAATATAAAAAAATAAGCCTTCTAATAAATCCAAGAACAACTCCAAAATCAATTAAAACAAATAAATTCTTAAAATAATTTTTTGACTAAAAACATTTACAACGATAGTCAAAAATCTGAAATAGCAAAAATATGTGAAAATATGAAAATAAGCATCGAAACTTTAAAACTACAACTAAACTAATTAGAATAAAAATAAAAAACAAGTCAATAAAAAAATGTCATTAAAACTTAAAAAGAACAAGCATAAAACGAAATTGAACGTTTTGAAATTATTTTTAAAGATTTTAATAAAATTTAAAAATCAAATAAATCTTCCAGTAGTACTTCTTCTGTTTTATAATAAAGAAATAGTAATTCTTAGGCTATTAATGCTAATTTTAATAATAAATAAAATGTTAAATATAATTAGTAATAATAATAATAAGTATTGTAATAAAAAGATAGCTTTAAGTAAAATTTAGATCTAGAATAATAATTATTAGATGAAAAATAATAGGATTTGTAGTTTATTTAAAATGAAGTTTAAGTTATCAATGAAATTATGTATGATATTGCAAATTAGGTTAATTAATAAGGGGAAGTACTTAATATTATTGAAGAAAATGTTGCAAATGTAGAGAAAGATGTAAAAGAAGCTAATAATGAATTAAAAAAAGGAGAATAATAATAAAAAAAAGCTCGAAAAAAATATTTAATTTTTCTTATTTTAATTTTAATAGTTATTGCTATAGTTTTAGTTGTTGTATTTACAGTTATAAAATGAAAAAAAAAAAAATTGTAAATAATAATAATATAAAAAAAAATTAATTTAAAAAAAAATATTTAAAAAAAAAATATTTAAAAAAAAAAATATGAAAAAAATTTATTAAGTAATATCTGAAAATAAAAATAAATAAATAACTTAAAAAAAATTAAATAATTAAGAAAATAAATGTTTTCGTGATAATTTAGAATAAAATGAAAAAAATTAGGATAATATTAAAAGCTTTTTAGATGAAAATGGAAATTTTATTATTTAGAATTCATGGAATATAAATAATATTATAATTCAATAAAATGGAATACAAATATCTGGAAATTAATATAATGAAATGAAAGAAAAAAGCTAAAAATAATAATAAAATGCTTATTTATAAAATATTAAAGGAAGTGAAGAATATAAAAAGTAAATTTTATAAAAACTGAATGAAAAAATAAAAAAAAATTAATAAAATATAAATAAAAAATATGGAAATGCAAGCGTTTTTGTAGATAAGTAAGAATAAGAAGAAAGCGAAAATTATAATGAAAATATATTAGAATAAAATGAAAATTAATATGGATTTATTAGTTGTTTGGAATTATTTTATAAACCGAATATATATTCAATATAAATATAAAAAATATAAAAAAATAAAAAAATATTAAATTAAATTTTTAATTTATAATGAAAAATAAATAAAAATAATAATAAATATTAAAAAAAAATTTAAAATAAAATTTTAAATATATGTTATATATATATATATATATATATATATTTTATTAATTTTGTTAATGTTTAATAATTAAAAAAATAAAATAAAAAAAGTTAATTAAATAAATAAATATTTAAAAAATATTAATATATATCAATATATACTAATTTAAAAATATTTTTTAATTTAATATATATATATAAATATATATATTTATATTTATATTTATATTTATATTTATATTTATATTTATATTTATTAATTAATTATATATAAATACATTAATATTTTTTATTTATATAGATATATATTAAATTTTTTTTATTTATTTTGTAATTTTTTTTTTATATTTATTTTATCATTATTATTTTTAATAATATACTGAATTATTTATATATATAAATTTTTTTTATTTAAATTTCATATATTTATTATGCTTATTTATTTTTCATTTTTTTTATTTTTTTGTTTAATTTTATACTATTTGTTTAATTTATCTTATTTTTAATTTTTATTTATTTTTAAATAAAAAATACATGCTTTTTTAATATCAATTTAAATTATACTATTAATATATAATTATATGTTTAAAATGAATTTTATTTTTATCTCTTTTGTTGTCATATTTTTTTCATTTATAGCATACGAATTAGATATTTTTTCTACTTTTTAATAGAACGATGAATATTTCTCTGATTGCAAATATTTAAAAAGTTAAAACTTTTCTAATACTGGCCCTGAAGACATAGTCTAAATATCTGATAATGTAGTAATAGGAGGTCATGCACAACTTCACATGATTTTTAAAGGATTAAAAGATATAGATGAGGTTTAAAAAGGTGGATTTTATTAAATTTCTGGACTCAAAGATAAGAATTTATAGATTAAAAAAGTAGAAATAATCGGTTTTCCTGAGGATGTATTTTTAATTCCTCATGGAATATATTATGATTAAAATATACTATATGTTATAAACCATGCCTATTACTCTGGAGTTAGTGATAGAATCGAATATTTTGAGGTTATAAAAGAAGACGAGAACACTTTTAAATTAAAATATTAAAATTTTACTTAATTACCTATTAAATTTAATGGAATTTCGAATGATTTGGTAGTATTTGAAGGTAACAAGGCTTTAATTACTATCTGGTAACCTTACACAGCTCCTTCTAAAGGATAAAAGTATTATAGTTATAAAGAAAAAATAATGAGTATTTTAACCTAAGGATTGAAAATAAAAAATAATTATACATATGAATGTTAATTAATTAAAGGAGATGTAATTACTTAATGTAATGAAATTAAAGAAAGTCACGGAGTGATGAATAATGGAATTTCTTTTGATAAGAAAAATATAGTTTTAATAGGAGATACAATAAATAAGACTATAAAAATTTTTAAAGTATTAGAAAATGGATAATATTAACTTATTTAATAATTAAAAAGTTAAGTTAAACCTGATAATATTTCATATAATGAGAAATTGGATGTTTTTATAATCGGAGGTACTTATAGATTATGGGATTATTTAACTATCAATAGTTATTTAGAAAAAATTTAAAATAACTAAGGAAGTTAAAGCTAAGTTGATTATTGGGGAGGGATTGAAATTATTTATTTTAATAAAGAAAAAAATTAATATTAAAATAAAAGTATTTTAAATAGTAAAAATGTAATAGCTGGAGTTTCTGGGGGTATTTTAGATTGGAGTGGGTAGTATTTAATTTTGGGAAGTTTTATAGATAATAATGTGTCTGTTTGTTAGAATAAAAAAAATATATTCTCATGATATTTATATTTTTATTTATTTTATATATTTTTTATTTAATAATATATAAAAATTAATTAATATATTTTATATATTAAAAATATCTTAATATCTTTTAAAAATAAAATGGATACAAGAAAAAAATCAATTTAAGATTAGAATATAAATAATTTAGAAACATAAATATTATAAAAATAAAACAACTAAATATTAATTATTGATGAACTTTAAAATAATTCTTAATTAATAGATGCGATTATATATAATTTACATTAAAAACTTTTTTTGAAATAATAAATGGAAAAAACATATTATGATGAATTAAATTATATAGAATCTTATCCTAAAAATCTAAAATATTATATACATTGTCCATGTAATTTATAAATAATGTTTTCTATATATTTTTTTTATTTTATTTTATGTAAATATTTTAAAAAATAATATGTATAAATTAAGAATCGTATTTTATATCAATTCATTATTTTTTTATATATTTAAGAAATATTAAAGTAAAAATATTAGAAAAATGAAATTATGAATATAAAAATATATATTTATATATATAAATATATATAAATATACATAAATATATTAATATATATTTATCTTATTTTATTTAATTAAGATCTTATGTAAGGAACAGCATCATTTTTAATATATATGAAATATAAAGGCATATTAAATCCAATAACTTTTACTAGTTTATTTTGTATTTCTTCTATTATAAATGAAATTGGAAGATACAAAAGAATTTAAATATGTAATCCTTAATATTGGAGTAATTATTAAGAGGCTGCAACTAATTATGATAATTTAATAAATTCTTAGGTAAAAGTAGGTGTTAAATTTAATACAATTCTAAAATATTTTTTTATAATAAATATTGATGCAAATTATTAAAAAATAAAAGGACTATATAAAAGAGATAAACTAAATTAAGATATAATTAATAGTATATTTATGTGAAATATATTATTACATATATATGTATATATGTATATATGTATATATGTATATATGTATATATTTAAATATTTACATATTTATATATATATTTATAAAATTTATTTTCTTTTTAATTATATATATTATATAAATAAATATATATTCTATACATCTATATTATTAAATTAAATAATTTTTTCATTTTTTTAATATATTAATTATAATTTACTGTTTTTTAAGATTATAAAATATTTAAAAATAAAATAATTAACAATGTAAAATTAACAAACTTGTATTTTACATAATAACGAGACAATAACAAATTTTTGTAAATCGTCATCATGTGTAATGCCATTATGCCCTGAATGTATAAACGATCACTATTTTTTGCATTAAAAGAATTAAATTGAACCGTAAATTGAATAAATACAAATGACATATTAGAATACAAATAAAATTATAAGATATATATATAAAAATTTAGAATAGAATTTATTAAATTTGTAAGATTTTTATCAACAAAGGTCTAACAAATAGACTATTTTTGATTAAATATATTAGTTTAGGTAGTAAATATAATAAATATTAGACTCTTTTTTTGAAAATTTACAATAAGAGTAGTTAAAATACGAAGAAAATGAGCGTTTTTAATAAGAAGAGTAACTTAAAATAATTGAATATACTATTAACGATGTTACGAGTAATTTGGAAAAAATTTAATGTAAAATAAATGAAGATAAAAATAGTATTAAATATTTAGTTAAATTTCTACATTCAGATTATGTGGAAAAAACATTAAATGATAGTTTAAAAATAAAATAGATTTTGGAAAATTTAAAAGATAAATAAATTTCAGAGGAAAAAAATAAAGTAAACATAAATAATATTTAACCAATTTTAGCATAAATATTTGAAATTTTAAATAAAAATTGTTTTCATAAAAAATTTAAATTAATAAAAACTTGTTATACTAAGTTAATCAAAATTAATTTTAAAATAGTAATGATCAAAAAAAATAAATTTAAGAATAAAAGAAAAAAATATAAACGATTATTTATAATAAATAAGGATATAATTCTTTTCATTAAAATAATTATAACTAATTTAGTTA